GAGAAGGGCGGCATACAAATAATAAAATTCTATTCTATTCTATTCTATTCTAGTCGGCTCCCTCCCCCAAGTCTGAGGGACCATGAATTGGCCCCCTATTTAAAAAGTTTGGGGACCTCTAATATAGATGTACAGATATCATTTCAACTACCATAGAACACAAGGTAAAGATGCCCACTGAATACACAATTGTTTTTCATGGAATTTTCCAATTTATTCATTGTCATCCATCTCTGTTGGAAATTGGGCGTATGAACTGCCGCTTTCACATACTGGTTTTTTTAAAAATAGGTTGTTTTCTTGTAACAGTGGCGTTCTGGCCAATTCAAAGCAGATGTTAAAGAAGTCTTCACATTGTCCTTCTTGTTTTTGCAATTGCATCTGGTACTCTCCAAAGCAAACTTTACATTTGTCTGGTAGATTGACTTTATTTAGATAGGCCAGTTCAACACCGTCCACAGATAACTTTCCCTTTTTGCTCAGATTCTTAATCTCAAAACCAAATTCTGAGCTGTTGAAGTGCCTGAAAAACTGAAGGCAAAACTGAACACGTGAAACCCGTGAATCCACAAAGTGAAAACGACAGATATTCGGATCTCTTCCAAATTTCACTATATCATCTGCTCTCAGCTGTTGTTCATGACAGAAGCTTAAAGCATTGAAGACTGGTTTTTCTCCTTGATTTGGATGATAAACAGTGATTTGCAGGCAAGTTACAGTCTCTTCAGTATCTTGAGTTTCAAAATCAGACATGGCAGTACTAATTCAGAAAATCCTAAAAGAACAAAGCACATATTAAAATCATTTTAAAATCATAGATGCTTGACACTTCATGAAGAGCAAAAAAAAGTGTGAATGGTGAAATACAAATGAAATATAATAGAAGGGGAAACAATATAAGGTGAGCGATATCGATTGATAATTGCTATTAGAAAGAACAGAAAGCTCCTGTTCATATTGCATTGGGTAAATGTGGGGTATGCCTAAGTTTTATGTATGTGTATTTTATATGTTTGTAAATATTTTTTTAAAAAAAGAACAAAAAAAACCTCCCATCAAAAATGGAAGCAAACGGGCTGCAACGAAGTCATTTTGATAGGGATCATAAATATTTGACAAGGATGGCGGCTACAAGGTTTGGTCCCAGTAAACTGAAAAAATGAAGAAGAAAAAACAACCTTAAGGTTAATTTTAATTTACTGGTTTTTTTTTTTTACATAGGAAGTATTGATTTAACTAATTGTTCAAATACTGCCATTTATGAAGAGATCCAAAGTGACAATTATGGCTTTTAAGTCCCCTATCCCAGTGTTTCTCAACCTTGGCCACTTGAAGATGTCTGGACTTCAACTCCCAGAATTCCCCAGCCAGCGAATGCTGGCTGGGGAATTCTGGGAGTTGAAGTCCAGACATCTTCAAGTGGCCAAGGTTGAGAAACACTGCCCTATCCATCATCATTTCTATAAAGTCATGAGGCAGCACATAAAGGTAAAAACACGCAGACAGCACGAAAACTATTGAAGATACACGTTTAGATTAAAAGCAAAAACCCAAACCATGCTTCGTTTGAGGCTTAGACCAAGCACCCTCATCTCTTACCCGGGGATATACCAGGGCATCTATTCGCATTGCTTCTCCTCCAAAAGGGGAAGAACTTTTACATTCTTTTCAACCAGGCGTCCTTTTGCAAAACTTCTCAGCTCCGCGTTCCCAGATGGCGGAGTCTTCCCCGCCCGCGTGTCTTAATCCTGCTTGCGTTTGCACGCAGAATGGAGGCCCTTCCCTACCAGGGCTTGCACTTTCGCTTCTATTTCCGGCGGGGAAACTGGAAGTATGACTTTTCGGGAACATCCCACGAGACCTCAAGGCAGGCGCTGAAGCCTGCAATTAAGCGGGGCTAAAGATTCCTTGGCTGATCTCCCATTCCACCCGGTTCTCGTCTGAACTTTGCCAGGCGGGCAACCGCCCGGGTAAGCAGTCAGCCTTACTTCAACTCTGTTGCCTCTCCCCGTCATTTTCTACAGCATTGCTTGTTTTTGAGTTTGACACGAGTATATTCGCGTCAAAAGGCGTCGTCTGAAGGCTGGGGGCGTGGGAGACGCTCTACCGAACTCTTTATATGTTAGAAATTTAAATGATCGAAGCCTATATTGAACAGATCAAGCGGTAGGTCAGCTTCAAAATATGATTTGGTTTGCCTTCCTCCTCCTGGGACTCACCTTTTCAAAGAGATCTCAAAAGCAGCAGCAGCACCAACACCAAATGGGAGCGTGAGAAAAAGGGTGTCTTTGGAAGAGACTCGCGGGAGGAGATGCGTGGCGAAAGGATGCCGCGCTGCAACTGCAGAAAAATCTCTCCTACTTTCCTTTTCCCGGCCAGCAAAAGGGGAGGGGGTAACGTTAGGGAAGGGGACGAGTCTCAATTCTGATGCTTAACCGAAGTTCCTCCTTTCCTAAGACCGCGAAGATAGAAGGAGGGTGGGGCATGTGAGCTGGTAAACAAGACTGTAAAAAGTCGATAAAACCTCATTTACAATGTGGCATAACGGAACATCTTTATCAGCGATACTGAGAATTGGAAGTCAGTCAGTTTCTCTCTTTCTCTCTCTCTCTCTCACACGTACACACACACCATTTGTGATTTTGATGTTCTTAAATAGACACCTTGTTATTTCTTTCTCTGGAGCCCTCATTGTTTCACAACCAAACAATATCAAAAGAGATACTTCGATATCTGAATTTAAGCAGACAATACGTGCTTCATGAGTGAATTTTTCACGGGGGATACTTTGAGCATCTCTTTTCCAAATAGGATCCAATTTCAATTGAAACATAGGCACAATTTTTAAAAAACCTTATGTGATACCTCTGATGCATTTGGAATGCCATAGTTCCATTTTTAAAATCAAAATGTGGCTGTATTCCAGCATCCAATGATGCCATACTTAGAAGACATTAGGTTTGAAATATAATTTTGACCCCTATTATAAATTTCATTTTGGGGTTGATTTCAGTTAGAAAATTTCTATTGGAATTCATGGGATTGGTAGGATATTAGGTGTTTTCCTACTTTAAGTCACCTTATTTCAAGTTTTAAACCTTTTAAGATACTGCAAGAGACATTTGGATTGACTAATTCTGAGGAATGACAGCGTATTCAGTTAATTTTTCTTTTATTTCACAATTTTGTCCAAACATATTAACAGCATCTAGATCTCCTAAATTACTGTAAATACTGAAAAGTGCTTTGGACAATTTCAAATCTATAACTTTTAATAGGCAATTAATGAGCATTGCTAAAGTTGATAGTAGCAGTTTGCAAATATTTGTTGGATAGGAGCTGGAAATTCATGCTGGAAAAAAATAGTGAAGACTTCAAGCAGGCCTGCCAAACTGGATGCGTCATGCACAGGCCTCACCCACCCCTGCTCCGCAAAGGCAGAAAATGCCGCGACATGTCACCATCCAGCACATGATGTGATGTAGTTTGACACCAATGACTTAAACTATATTAAGCATATTTTTACCGTCTCAAGATAAGATTAATTCAACAAAATTTCACATGTACAGGTAGTCCTTGACTTATCTTCACAATGGAACCCCAAATTTCTATTGCTAAGCAGGATAGGTGTTAAGTGAGTTATGCCCCATTTTATGACTTTTTGTGCCACAATTATTAAGCGGATCCCTGCAGTTGTTAAATGAATCTATTGGTTGCTCAGTGAATCTGCCATTGACTTTGCTTGTCAGGAGCCAGCTCGGAAAGTTACAAACACATGGGAACACATGACTTCAGGACCGTGACACTGCAACTGTCATAAATACCTGCTGGTTGCCAAGAGACCAAAGTTTGATCATATGACCAGGGGAATCAGAGGTGGTATGCAGCAGGTTCTGACCAGTTCTGGAGAACCAGTAATGGAAATTTTCAGTAGTTTGGAGAACCGGTAAATACCACCTCTGACTGGCCCTGCCCCCATCTATTCTCTGCCTCCCGAGTCCCAGATGATCTTGAGGAAATGGAGATTTTGCAGTATCCTTCCCCTGCCATGCCCACCAAACCATGCCACACCCACCAAGCCACGCCCACAGTACTGGTAGTAAAAAAATTGAATCCCACACTGATGGGGATGCTGCAATGGTCGTAAGTAAAAAAAGTCACTTTTTTCAGTGCCACTGTAACTTCGAATGGTCACTGAACAAATGGTTGTAACTTGAGGCTGACCCCCAAACCACTTCTTTGTTCATTTTATGTGGTGTAAAGAATGATTCTCACTAACTAGAGGGAGGTAGAATTCAAACACTTTATTTCTGCACAGGAGCAAAGTGGGTGGCCCTGCTGTCATTTTGAGTAAACTTCATCTCAAAAGGAAATGAGCACCCCCAGCCAGGTTTATATCAAAGCTTTTATACTTTTTCTACAAAGAAATACAAAGTTACAATCTCACACATTGGTTATCTACCACTTCCTGAGCACATATTATTGTGCACACATTCGCATGTTCTCCAGACGCATCTCAGCATGTTTAGAATGATCTCTAAATTTCTCAATTCAATAATTGGGGGTTGACATTTTAGTATGCTAGTGATGAACTTTTGTTTACCTCCGGACCCCTGCCAGGATCTTATGCCCATACCTGTAAGCCAATGCCACATTACCTCTTAATAGCTGGGTCTCTTGCAGATTTCTTAGGATTCTTTTCCAACCACATCTTTCCATCAAACTAATAGTGCTTGTACCTGATCTCTGCCTTTAGCAGTTTCTAACAAACATCAAAACTGATTCTTATCTGTGATTTAGTTTTTGCTGGCAAGCTTTCGTTTATCTGAAAGAAATTATTGCAGTACTGAATCTGCAAAAAACTTCTGTTTAAATAACAATAATAATTGTATTATTAAATAATATTAAATAATAACAACAACAATAATAATAATACAGGTAGCCCTAGATTTATGACCACAATTGAGCCCAAAATTTATGTTGCTAAGTGAGACATTTGTTAAGTGAATTTTCCCCATTTTACAACCTTTCTTAGCAATAGCAATAGCAGTTAGACTTATATACCGCTTCATAGTGCTTTCAGCCCTCTCTAAGTGGTTTAGAGTCAGCATATTGCCCCCAACAACAATCCGGGTCCTCATTTTACCTACCTCAGAAGGATGGAAGTCAACCCTGAGCCGGTGAGATTTGAACAGCCGAACTGCAGAACTGCAGTCAGCTGAAGTAGCCTGCAGTGCTGCATTTAACCACTGCACCACCTCGGCTTTCTTGCTACAATTGTTAAGTGAATCACTGCAGTAGTTAAATTAGTACCACAATTATTAATGGAATCTGGCTACCCCATTGACTTTGTTTGTCGCAAATGGGGATGACATGACCCAGGACACTGCAACCATCATAAATATGAATCAGTTGCCAAGCATGCGAATTTTGATCACATGACTATGGGGATGCCGCAATGGTCATAAGTGTGAAAATGGTCATAAGTGCGTTGTAACTTTGATTGGTCACTAAACAAACTGCTATAAGTCAAGAACTACCTGTAATGAACTTTATGAAGCAACTTAAAGTATAGTTTCATCTGAGACTCTTTTATAAGCTACTTTTAAAATTCCTGGCCTCCAGTAACCAGGCCCTCCTGAACCAAGGTTAAAATACTAGGCCTTCGTGTACATGATAACTCAGAAATATTTCAAAAGAGTTGACTTCCAGGTTCATCATGTTCAAAAAATACACTTTTTATTTATTAATCACATTTGTATAGCTATTTATAACTTTCAAATTTCGGAGTGGCTTGAAGTCAATCTTGACTCCTGCCAACTAACTGGACTTGTCCCTGCAGCTTTCTGGCAAGATTTCAGACATTCCATTGTCCTACTTCTAGGGCTAAGAGAGAGTGACTGGCTTAAAGACTTTCTGCCTAAGTGGCATTAGAATGCATAGTTTCCAGTTTAGCATCTTAACCGCTATACCAAACTGGCTCTCAAAGAATGGATTAGAAGACATTGATGCAAATACTGTGGATTTGTCCCACTATTGTCCCATTGTAGTTTTATAATTTTGTTAATGTGTTTTTGTGAAAAGTATTATGGTAAATTCACATAATTGTGATATACTTAATAATATTTATGTGGTGATCATGGGCCATGTGGTGTCATCCAGTCATAAATCCCCAAGGGGAACTTACTGTTCTGTTCATAAAACATTTCTTAAACAGGAAGTTTAAGTTGACCTAAATTTGGTCAATTTAACTGTTAAGCAGCAATATCCATATTTTTATGTCATTGAAAGTTAGCTTTGTGTTCTTCTGCATGTCATTGCTAACCTAAAATTATTTAGATTTATCACCAAGTGATACCATACACTGTGACTTGTAAAACACAGGTTATGTCTACCATTTTGTAAGAACAAGCCATTTCTTTTTTAAAAAATCATAATTAAATAAACATAGCATTATTACATTTAGGCTACAAAACTCTTTTGACCAAATAGATAGAGCAAGGCAATAAAAAAAATTCTAACTTTTTGCTGTCTATTTCCAGTAACAATATTTTGTACCAACCATGTCTATGTAATTGTAGAAATCACCCTATCTTGATGAAAAATGAGTCATCATTTCTAACTTTAGGCATGAAAGCCAGCTGGGTGATTTTGAGCAAATCATACCCAGAGTTGTTGTGGGGAAAATAGGAGGAGGACGGAATATTAGGTAGGTTTGCCACTTTGAGTTATTTATAAAAATAATAAAGATGGAATATATATATATATGTATATATATATGTATATGTATATGTGTGTGTGTGTGTATATATATATATATATATATATATAAAATCATTTTGGGGATGATTTTATATGTATAAATCATTTTTTACTTGATGCCTGGTATATTATTTGCTGAAAATCAGGAATTGTAGTCTAAAATAAAAAAAAATCTTAAACAAATAAAAATTACAACTGTGTTATTTAGCCTTTAGTTTAATTTCTTTTAAAATTTGTATGTAGTGAGAAGTATGGATTTCATACTGAATTCTAGTTAATATGTCTTCATAGCTATGTGGAAGAACATCTAAATGTTGACTCGGATTTGTTTATTTTGATGTATATATGTTAAATTATAGTTTAATATTCAGTGTGAATCTTCCTATTCTTTTCTCCATATTTAAAAAATAAGGTGAAATACTTCAGGGAATTTCCTAGATCAATATCAGGTGTCTCTAGGGAACTGCTAACTATATGATTTTTGATAAATGATAGTGGGCCATTTCTTTTCTGTATCTTCTGTAGAACAGAGAAGGTTTCCTTCACTAGATAATCCAAAATATATCATTGCATTTTGATGGGATTATTTCATTCACATATAATCATCTTCCCTTTCAGCCA